ACACACTTAAAAACCCAATGCACTTAAGAGCGGGTCACCTTGCTTAAAGCGTCCTTCTGCATCTTTCTCTGTCTCTCTCCATCCGTGTCCCCTCCCTCCGCTATATGGAGAAGGGGTAAGTATGGGTGCAGGAGCGGGAGGAAGGAGACACCCTGATATTAGCCCCCCCCCCTTTTCCCCCTCGCACAGCAAGCAGGAGTCTCTGGGAGCAGCTCCAAGGCAGAGGGCAGGAGCAGCACATGGTGGGGGCGGGGGGGGGGAGGGAGAGGGAAGACAGCTGAACTGCCTTGATAGCATACTGGGTAGTTACAGCACAGGGAACTTCGGGGAGCAGGGAGCGGATGGGGGGCTGCCGGTCCACCCTGGTTACAAGCCCCCACCAGCTAGCTGCAACCGGCTGCTCTTCCTGCAAGCAGTGGACAAAGCAGGCGGCTGCCAAACGACATTAGAAGGGACCATTGTACAACTTTAAATGAGTATGTTCCCTAATTGATCAGCAACGTAACAATGAAACAACGCTTAACTGGGATGACTTTAAGTGAGAAGTTACTGTAAATGGCAGAGGGGCATTGCTGGCACATATCACATTGGTAAATGTGCAGGTGAACAAGCCGCTGATGACGTGGCTGATGTGATTAGGTCCTATGATGCTGTCCCTTGAATAGATATGTGGACAGAGTTGGCAACGGGCTTTGTTGCAAGGATAGGTTCCTGGGTTAGTGTTTTTGTTGTGTGGTTGCTGGTGAGTATTTGCGTCAGGTTAGGGGGCTGTCGGTAACTAACTCTGAGCTCCCTAATAAAGAGAGACAGTGGTTGAGGTAATATATTTTTATTGGACCAACTTCTATTGTTGGTGAAACAAGTTTTCAAGCTACAGAGTTCTTCTCTGGGTCTGGGAAAGGTACTCAGGGTCACAACTAAACACAAGGTGGAACAGATCATTTAGCACAAGCAATTAACACTATTTAAGGGACCACTCAAGGTCAAGTGGCACTTAACACCCCTGTACCCATGGGGGGAGAAATGGAGGGAGGAGGGTTGGTGGGTTACAGATAGTTGTAACAAGCCATAAATGCAGTGTCTTTATTAAGACCATGATTTTTAGTGTTGAGCACAGTTATGAATCTAAGCTTCCAAGCTCATATTTTGAAAGTGTTGTACAGGTTTCCCCGAGGACTAAACTGATCAGACATACAGTGATCGCTTTGAGGGGGAAAAATAAAGTTGTATTTAAAATTATTTCGAAAACTAAAGCAAATCTAGAGAACTAGGAAGGACAGTTACTGTCAAATTGAATGTTTTCCAGAGATTTCTCTCCAAAACTTTGTCAACATTTGTAACAAATAAAAATGTATTAGACAAGCATAACATACTAATAAGTTGTTAAAGGGGATAAACATCATTAAATGAAAGCCGCAATACCATTTCGACAAAAATAAGGGAGGTAGGGATTAAAGAAAAAGGTGGAACAGATAGACGAACACAGACTTAACATGGACAACTAGAAGTAGTTTAGAAAAAAGGCAGACTCTTAAGTCTATATAGTCACCCTTGAATCAGTACAACTTTAAAATTCTGGGATAACATACAGTAAACTTAGCTTCCCTTTCCATATCTGCTATGATTTCCACAGAGAGAAGTTTAGTAGGGCTATCAGACTATTAAAAAAGATAGTCGCAATTAATTGCAGTTTTAAGCAAACTGTTAAACAATAGAATACCAATTTAAATTTATTATACAAGTACTGTAGCGCAATCTCTATCATGAAAGTGCAACTTACAAATATAATGGTTTTTATTTTTTACATAACTGCACTCAAAAATAAAATAGTGTAAAACTTTAAAGCCTACAAGTTGAAGCATGAAAGGGCATACCAATGTTTAGCATATCTGGCATGTAAATACCTTGCAATGCCAGTTACAACAGTGCCATGTGAACGCCTGTTCTCACTTTTAGAAGAAGCAGGCATTATCTTCTGTAAAACAAACAAACTTGTTTGTCTTTGCGATTGGTTGAACAAGAAGTATGACTGAATGGAGTTGTATATGTGAACTGGAAAATACCATTTATTTTATCTTTTTTACAGTGCAAATATTTGTAATTAAAATATAAAGTGAGCACTTTACACTTAATATTCTGTGTTGTAATTGAAATCAATATATTTGAAAATGTAGAAAAACACAAAAATATTTATAATAAATTTTAATTGGTATTCTATTGTTTACAGTGTGACTAAAACAGCAATTAATCACAACTGATTTTTAATTTGTTTTGCGATTGACAGCCCTAACATTTAGATTTTATTCTGAGCTCAAGATCAGGGAGGTTAAGATATGGGATGTAGGAAGTAGGTGGGTCATAGATTCGTAGTATTTTTATTTCTTTTTCTTCACAAAAAATAAATACAGAAATTAAAAACAAGCTTAACAACCTTCAACTACTTTTGTATTTACATTTGAAGAATTATATTCTATGTAGCTTAGGTTTCTATCAGCAGCTACATATGTAAGATGCAGATAAAACTCAAACTCCTAGCTATGGGGAAAAGCAGAAATAGAAAGATGGTTTCTATCAAAGAATGTTTGAACACAATGAACCTTGTATACAGCTATATCTTTATAAAAATAGACTATATGCAAAAAAAGGAAGAGGAATAGGAAAACAATACTTCACACTAAAATAAAATAAATTAAACTATTAAAACTGGCAATTTAAAAAACAAAGTTTTAAATAGGACAGTAAGGAAATTAATTAAGAATGTATTATTTTTGTGAAACCTAAGTGAGACCTTTTAATGAAGGCTTTTCTAAATTACTGACAAACCTCCATTTCAACGAGGGGATCTCAATGCTTGCCATTCAATGTACATAGTATTTCTAGTAACTTAATATACTATGTGTGTTAAGCATGCATACCGTGGGGAAAGGAGGAGATTGTTTTCTTGTATTTGCTTCCCTCATAGCTTCTTCTGCCTGATTTTGTCCTTCCACAGAATTCTGCCACTATTGATATTCTTGGGTCTTTCAATCCAAGAGACTCTACATCTATTTTCAAATGAGATTTGAAAATATCTCCCCTCTCTAGTTAAATTTGGCACTTAAAACAAGAATTCAACCTCTTTGCTTGCTAGGCATAAAAATAGAATAGCATCGTCAAAATTACAGCATTTTAAAAAATTAACTAAAAACTAACAGATTTGCTCCTAAATTCTCTGAAATTCAGAGAGGGAGTCCTTTAAGAAATTTAGCAAGCTACTGTTGACTTTTTAGACCCCACTGAATGATCTTAAAACAAAAACAAAACCAGACCATTTATCCACACAGTTAAAACTCTCTGAAGTTTTGTATAGTGGGTACATTTGGGGAGAAAAAAGGATGAATTATCATATTTATTGAAGATCAGATTTTGCTGTTTAATTCATAAATGAAAGCTTATTATTCTTCAGCAAGACTGACACAATCTCCTTCAAAAGGTTCCATGAAAATTTCCCTCCTCCAAAATGATTGTCATCTCCTTTTGGCCTTAATGGGACTGAGAATGGAGGCATTTTTGGAAAGGCAACCTTTCACCTACTCCTCAGAGTGTTCCTCTCCCCATACAGCATAGAGGATTATCACCTTGCGGAGTGCAGGTTGGCTTCACTCCCTTTGGGAGCAATAGGAATTGTGCCCAGTTTGAAAGAGGGAGATTCTTCATGAGTTTCTCTAAAGCAGAAGATTTTATTCTTCATCTTATACATTAACTTTCATTTTAAAATCCAAAGAAAGGACCACTAGTCCTAAATATTTCTTTTTAAAAAGCTACGCTATCCACCAGATATACTAAACCGCAATTTAAAAGTCATACTATACATCTTCAAATAATTAGAAATATGATGAGATCATTCTCTGATTTCTCATTTACCGTTCATGTATGAACCTTGTAATCATTTTTGGAAACCAAGAAATTTCCCAGACAAAAAGCTACATTAAGTTTGAGAAAACATATCAGTAATTTAGAATAAAATATGTGGGAAAGATGAGATAATTATTAAAAAAAAAACATCAAGTATTACAAACCAAAAAGGTATGAAAGTGCACAGTTAGGGAACAAAGACAACCTCTCCCGTGTTTAACAACATGGAGTTGAGGGGAGAATCTAGTTTTGTTTTTTAAAGCCAGTTTAATCTAACCTGAGACTACAAACACTAAAGTGCTTTAATCATAATTATATGGTTATTGCAGAAAGGCACTATAGGGCAGAGCTAGGATTGTTTGGGTATCCTAACTGTGTGTGTGTCTTTACCTTACCTTTCATTTAAATTTAACCGTCAATTCTGAATTTCCTGAATTCGTATTGTTTGTTTTGGGGATAATTACATCATCTCTGCCAATTATTTTACCTAAATTACTGATATCTTAACTCTATTTGAATGTATTTTTTTGTCTAGGAATAATTAAGAATGACAGGTTCTTCCAAAATAGATTTTTCTTAAATTAGTATTAAATTATCGAAGAGAAAGTTAAGGATCTAATTTTCTACAAACACAAATATATACTACAGTTTATCAATAATTTATAAAAAATTAGGTTTCTATAATTAAGCGCTTTTATGTTCAATAACCTAGATAAAAATATCCTTACTCTTTCTCTGCATCTCCTTCACTTTCTTCTGCGTGATCAAAGCTCCAATTATTTTTATAACCTCCATCTCTCTTGGATTGTGATCTATTCAAAGCTGAAATGAAAACAAGTTAAAATAAGTCTTGATTTCAAGCCAGGTCACTAATCAATTCAAACTAGAAGGGTAAAATAACATGGTACTATATCCCGGATATTTAGTTAATATAATCATTCAAGTATCATTTGACAAAATAAGGTTAGTGATTGCAGCACAAGCTTATTTTTAGAATGTGCACAACTATATACTAAAGTCTTTCAGCATGTTGATTAAACTAACACTGGAACATGAGATTCAAAGTGAAAAAGCATTGTGTTTCTGTGAGTAGCTGCACACTTTTGACACCACACATTATTATTAAAAGACTGCTAACTGAAGCAGAAAAAGACAACTGCATACCGTTAACTAGTCTAATCAGCCATTTGGTTGACAACATTCACACTTTTAAAGTTTACTCCTTGTATACACATTGTATACCAAGCGTAGGTCAGTCTCTCTGCATTTTTACTCTTTGTCAGTCTATACCTCAACCAGGCATAAATACACTCCATTTATTTTTCCAGTTACACTTTTCAAATCAACCATTGCTTTATTTAAATAATCTAGTAAGTAAAACCTTCTAGATGCAAATGGTCAAACTGTATACAATCGTAGGCCTAGTAGCTGATGATAACCACTAATGAGAATGAAGCCTTAACTCTCCCGAGGAACTAGAAACAAGGATATAAATTTAAGTGTGTACTGCAAAACCAAGTTTTCTACAATGTAGGTAGAAACCTATTGCATTCTGAAATGAACCTAAATTTTTAGATCCTCTCATTCTAAGCGAGCACAAATTTCAATGTTTCAGGAGAGTCGTCACCTCTGGACATTTTTCACTGAAATATTCCACTGACCAACCAAATCATTTTCCACATGTAGGGTTTAGGACGGGGTCGGCAAACTTTTTGGGCCGAGGGCCACATCTGGCTGGAGAAATTGTATGTAGGGCCAGAGCAGGGGGTTGGGGTGTGGGAGGGAGTGCGGGCGTCGGAGGGGGAGTGGTGTGCAGGAAGGGGCTCAGGGCAAGGGATTGGGGCAGAGGAGGGTTGCAGGGAGTATGGGAGGCTCAGGTCAGCGGGTTGGGGTACAGGAGGGGTGCAAGGTGCAGGCAGGGGGTTAGGGCAGGGAGTTGGGGGGTGGGGTACAGGAGGGGTTTGGGCTCCGGCCCGGCACCACTTACTTCAAGCGGCTCCGGGATGGCAGCAGCGCACACCGGGGCCACCAACTGAGGGAGAACTCCTGCCAAACACAGGCAGGAGGATAAAATCATCGCTCAGACTAAACTTGGATACAGCAGCCTCAGCCTGGACATTACTGGCTGTAGTCTCTTACTCTGGGAACCTTAGATCAGAGTAAGTTATCTCCATCAAAGCCCCAGCTTTAGATACTTATTCACTTTCGAAAATCTAGAGGGGAGACTCTCTCATGAGTTTTAAGATTTTATGCTGCCTTTTAAGAGCTGATTGTGAGCAATATCATTCACCAACATGAAAGAATGGGGTGGCCCTGTGAGGTGGAAAGAGCATTACCAGGGAGATTAAAAGGACAGTCTACAGACATGTATTCTGCATGTCTCCCTAAGGAAAAAATCATAGCCACTTTATGATGGCCTATGGGACCCATGGAGACTAGAAGGAGAAAAGAAATATATGTCTCTCAAGCAAAGGGATCTGAATCAATTCAATCCCTTTTACTTTATCTGTGCTAAGCAAAGACTGACCACATAGAACAAGGAATAAGCCAGAACCACTGGAGATGATGCTTGGTATCAAAGTTTGCAGGAACAGAGGACAGAGTTAAAACAGCCTGTAGGAAGGGCAGATCCTCTGAAGCCTTCTCACCATCCCATCACAGACCTTACCCATCTGCTGGCTATTAGCATGGATTTCTTCCTCCAGGTTGTACCGGTGAGGGAGGCGGGGGGACCTTGCCTTCCCCTGAGATTCCGGCTTGCTTTGCAAGCCATGAAAATAGGGATTCCCAAGTCTACGGGGGAGTTATGAGGGCTGGAGGAAAAGAAAACAACTTCTCTTCAATTCCATGCCACTGATTCTAGACTGGTCTCAGTGAAGGGAGATTCCATGCAGCTTGCACCTTGTCCACACATCAGTTGGGAGCTAGGTTTCACAGCAGTCTGCTCAACTCTTGGCATGGACCTTGTCCACAGGCTAGAGGGGAGACAAGTTCCTGCAGCCTGTCATTTCTGAGGGAGGGTGGGGAGGTGCTGTCCTTCAAACCCTCTTCAGAAAATCACAATACTTTTTAGTTTAGCAATTTTGAGAAAAACCTTAAAGCCAATGAAGAAACAGACCTTCAGTTAAAAATCCTGGGAAAATTCTGCTACCAAGGGAGACATGAAGTCTGTCATGTGTGCCACTTGGAGACAGCATTTTGGAGAGTTCTTCCTGAGGAGCAGTCTTAAACCCAAGCTGAAATCAAGGATCTGCTCTGCCCCCAGTTGCCATGCAATCAGGGAATTCCCCACTGTGAAGACTGACATGGAGTGGATGGAAAATCATTTTTACCGGGGGGAAGAGGCGAGAATTAAGGGAAAGACTAGAGCATTCTTATCTACCTTCAGATTGCCTACAGCAACTGTTGATAACATATTCTCCAATGCTCCATTAAGACTTTCAACTTCCATCTCTAGATAGAGTGAAAATTTGAAGTATTGGGTATCTAAAACAAAACTTTGACAGTAACCTCATATGTTTTTATATCAATTATATCCAAAAATCAATGCATCTGATTGTCACATATTTCATGCATTTGGTAGGTTATTCTGTCTTAACACTGGAGTTATCAGTTGGGGAATGGATTCCTTTTGGGTACTTGTTGGAGATGGAAGTGAAAGCCCAATGGAGCACTGAAGTTTATCAACTTCAATGTTGTAGACAACATGAAGGTGGAAAAGAATAAGTCTTTTCCTTTAATTTCTTATTGCTCCAATTTTAATGTTTTGGGTAGAGGGAATGCAACCTTCCATGATCTTATCTGATACTCAACATAGTTTAGTTCACTAATTTACTACCTAGAAAGTGATGCAAGGATTTTGAGCGAGCAATACTTTACATGAGAGCATCTTGTTAATTAAATGTAGGCTTTAGCGTGCATTTTATGAGTTTATGTAAACATGTTTCCAATATTTTCTACTTGCTACTACTACAGTCTCTATGCTTTGTTAAATAAACTTATATTTTATTTCACAACAACACACAGCACTTAGATATGTTTAAGTGGAGTAGTTATCTGATGTGGAAGAAGTAAGCTGGGGTGAATTGTTTCTTCGGAAGCAGCGAATCTGCAAATCCCACAAGTTTCCAGTGGACCAGGGGCTCACTACTCCAAGGAGATGCTCAGAGGGCTTGAGGGTTTGGAGTGTGCCAGTCGCTAACCTGTAGAATGACTGAGAGGCCTAGGAGGAGTGCTTGTGGTGGCCATGGCCAGTAATGTTCGGGGACTGTCCCACAGGAGGCACAGACAAGACTTCCGCATGCTAAGGGCAGGTGGTAGTAGGGTGCCTCAAAACTCTGGGTACCCCTGGGAAGAGTCACAACAGTGACTGGTAGGATTATCCAACCTGCCTAACTACTGTTTTCAATGGGAGTTTGGTACTTTAAAATTCCACTACATTTAAAAACCCAGACCATAGTGACCAAAAGTAAATAATTAAATGAGTAAATTCACTAACTACAGTTGTTACTTCCTTTATTTACTAAACCAGTTAGCTTTAAATGCAAAATATGTTTTGACAGACTTTATTTTACCAGCACATTTAAGGTAGCTTTACTTAACTAATATTTTACTGCGGACCCCAATCCAAAGTGACTCGTTAATATTTTCAGGAACAAAACAAATCAGGCATGCTGTTAATAGTGGATAATATCCCACAAATAAGTATATGGATGGCCACCAGGTGATTTTTAAAAATACTGATAAATATTAGAAATTACTCATCCAAATACATGCATTCAAAGTACATTTTCCCTTAGTCTCCTGTTTTATAAGATGTCAGTCTTCTAAGTCAGGGAATAGAAATAATAATATTGTTAGGAGCTGGGTGAAACCTCGTTATGGGTGAATTAAAATCTCATTTACATTTATTTGTGTGAATACACCCTTCAATTAACTTGTGTAAAAAATAAAATATCACAAGCCTCTGACTAAAACTAAAGGGTTATGCGACTCCACCCAGGAGTTTGGAGGAGTGTGTAGGCAGAGGGGTTTTTGCTGAGTATTGTTTTGGATAAGGAGTCTGTGTCTGGAACACACAACTAGAGTGCACCAGAGACTACCTGAAAAAATCCAAGCAGAAGTCCAAGCACAGTGTGAAACTGAGAGAAGCCTAAAAAGAGGTTTTAGGTAAGGGTGCCGGTGACAGGAAGAGGAAAAAAAAAGTTTGGCCTGTAAAAAACAAAACAGAAAAACAAAAATGCTTCCTTTTGCCTTTGTTATCTCCCTGCATTCAGAGAAGCAGAACTTTGTATGTTGCTTGTAAATAAACATGATTGCATCAAAGAAAACAGACTGAATCAATTTCTACCCCCAACTAGAACAACTTACAGTACCTAAACTTTGACTAGCCATATGGGTCAAAATGGGACAACATTATGTTGCTTATGTGCCAACCGCACACTATGAATAGTAAATAAGTGAACAGTTTGAAAGCCACCCACTGGCTGAAATTCTTTTGCATAATTATTCTTCAAAAACAAATATTTTTATAAAATCAGGATCCAAGACCAGACAGAAAAAAAAAAAAGTTACATTTGCATGTCTAGTGATCTGGCGCTATGCAATTCCCTGCTCCTATAAGACCATCATCATTTGACTGGTATGCTTAAGTAGTCCAAGCAGAAAGTTTATGGGTTTCATAGGAGAACCTGTGGATTTTCCTCTTCTTCTCTTACAATTTATTCTTAAAATGGAAGAGTGTGAAAATGGTGTAGAGAGAAGCAGTTAAGAAGTCATTTTAAACAAGATGCTATGTGACCACCAACTTTAGTATCGATTTT